CTGGTGTCGAGATCTCATCAATTTACAGTTGAGCTGGCTAGATGTAGCCATAAGTTCTATGCTAAGGGTTTCATTTCTCACACTTCTTGCTTGTGAAACTCTCTTTCAGCTTCATGCATTCCAGCCAACTTTAATCTGCAAAAATTTAAATACAATGTCAATTGCTATCTACAGTCCACCTGATTACTCTCGTCTCTTTCTGCTCATTATTAATGTTTCTGTTCCTAATTCTTCCACAACCTTTAACCCCTTGTGTTTTAGTGGCTTTACTGCCTTGCTTTGGGATGATACCAATTAAAAAAAATATTTATACCAAGACACTCGGAGTTAGCTGGACAAGTGTTCAGCAGTGCAGCATCTGTACAGTCATGGGACTGATGATGATGATGGTGGTGGTAGTGTTGATGATGATGATGATGGTGGTGGTAGTGTTGATGATGATGATGATGATGATGATGATGATGATGACAGATTAAAATCATGCCTTTCAGTTCCTGTACACATTGGAGCTTGTACATTCATATTCAAACAAAATTTACTAAGTCAACAAAACTGTAAATGCCTACTAATTAAAGAAGTGTTAAAACAAACAAAGGATAATTCCATCTTCCTCATTGTCATTCAATTGATTCTGTCAAATGATGTGATTGATTGGGTTAAGTGGTAATGAAATCATAAAAAAAAATGAGAACGTTGTCTTTTCTCTTTAATGACTGATTGATATCATGTGAGGCACACCTGATTACAGGTCAGCTATGACGAAGTTAATTAAAAGCTATTTTAAAAGCTTTTAGAAATGCAATGATTAAGTTTCAAGGTCGACAAATAGTGAAATCAATAACTTAGATTCCAATATTTGAAATCTGTAGTATAAAAGAAACAAAAGATGTTGTCATTCCTCCTGCTCATAGTTAGAAGACTGTTTTCTTTCTTTATACATGTTTTACAGTAAGAAATCTCAATAGACATTTTCTTTGTATAGAAATTCATCCTATGTTCCTATTCAGTTCTATTGACTACACACTTTATTTTAATCCTTCCATTCCCAGCAAGGCAATAAAGCCACTAAGACATAAAAAGTTATTGAGTGTGAAAGAATAACAGAAAAAGAAAAACATTATTAAGGAGAGAAAAAAAGAACAAACGTTAAGAGGACAAAAGATAATGATTAACAGTGTATTTCAATTCTCAAACTGTTAAAATAGATCTTACAGTTACATCTAGCAATTTCAACTGTAAAATGATGAGACCTAGCTGCCAATCAGGTATGACTCTTAAATTTGTAAAGGCAAGGTACCAAAGAGGAAATCTCATCAGAACAATTACCAAGGAAATTATCATAGAAAAGGCACAGGGATGTTACATTACAGTGATGAGAATATGACCGAAACCAATATGCCAGGTTATGACCAATAACATTGCAGATTCTTCTTTGTATTTTATCAAGAATCTCTAAATATATAGCAGAAGCACCAGATCAAATGTAATAGACAAATGATAGTCATATAAGTGTGTAAGATAGATTCTAGTACTGCACGTAAATTCATAAATTTGCAGTAGAAAAGATGAAAGCTCAATGTAAATAGATATCAATATGACAAAACTTCTTTTTTTTTTTAAATTTTACAATTCAGTCAGTTATGTGCCATGCATAATAAATGCTTAGGTGATCATGTATCTTTTGATACATGACTGACGAGGTAGATTTTTTCCCCGTAGTAGGTAGCCATTTCTTTCTGCATTAGAGCAGTTGCCATCCAAGCCTGCAGAACCCAGCCTATCCTGCTATTTAACCATAGCTGGGGGAAGAAGAAGATTTATACCTTTCCCAAGGGTATTAGCACATAAATGAATGTAATGGATTTGAATGGAATTTGAACTCGTCTCTCTGATTCCTTAATCCAAGCTGCTATCCATTACTCCACTGTGCCTCTTTTTTACAATTATAACACAGGAATAACTACTATTCACTCTTGTTTGCAAAAGTTTTCTTTTTCTCAGATTAATGCTCAGGTTGGTTTATTTAGCAACATATTGGCCAAAAGTCATGTTGAACGGTGGCTCTTCTAGATCCTTCTATATTGGTACAGGTGTGCTCCAGGGCTCCATCTTGGACCTACTTTGTTTCTTATCTTCATCAATGACCTTACCGATGTCATCGGTTCCCAACTAGATATTTATACTGATGACACAAATATTTACTCTTGTTTTAATAGTAATCTGATCAGTCCGACAAAGTAAAATTGTCAGCAGATCTACAAAATCTGTCATTAGCTGGGGCAAAAAATGGCATGTAAAATTTAACACCTCCAAAAATGAAACTGCTCTCTTTTAGTCATCTTAGAGAACCCTTTTTGCCTTCCATCAGTATGGCTGATGCTAACCTCTAGAAGAACAACTCATTGCATCTTCTTGGTCTCATGTTGCCCAATGACAGTGGAATGATTATATTAAATCAGTTGCTAGCTCTGCTGCTAAGAAAGTTGATTCACTGTGCTGTGTGAATCAATTTTTCTTACTAGAATCCATCAAGCACATTTATAATACTACTGCTTGTGTGCTCATTAAATATTGTTGCCACATCTGGTCTGGTGCTCCTACTATATATCTCAAGATTCTTGATAAAATCCAAAGAAGAGTTATCACTCCTGTCCTGGCATCTCAACTTTTGTCAGTTTCCCATCACCATAAGATGATTCCCAGTGTCTTTTCTATAAATATTTCAATTGGCAATTGTTCTAATGAGCTTTCTTCTTTGGTATCTCAACCTCATGAATTCAAATGTAGTACTAGACCAGCAACTAGGTTTTATAGTTTTACTGTTGAAATATTTAGATGTAACCATGCTAACAGTTTCTCACTAGTCAGAAAGTTAGACATTTGGTTTTACACCAATGCCAGAAAGTTAGACATAGCCAGTTTTACACCATAGCCAGAAAGATAGCCATAGTTCCAGTTTTACACCATCATGACCAGAAAGGTAGGTGTAGGTCCAGTTCTATATTAAAATCAGAAAGGTAGACTTAGGTCCAGTTTTACACCATAGTCAGAAAAGTTGACATGGATCCAGTTTTACATCATAATCAGAAAGGTAGACATAGGTTCAGTTTATACTGAAATCAAAAAGGTAAATATTTATCTGTTTATACCCTAGTCAGCAAGTATCCATCTGGAAGGTGGATCCTCTTTGGGGTGGGGAATGCTTATCCATCTGCGCAGCATTTAGTTTATGTATTCTAAATCCATCCAACAATTTATCAAAATGAACAATACAAAGTTCTTAATTCCCTTACATGGAAGACTGATGCTTTTCTTTTAACCAATCTCTTTGATGAACATCATTCATCATTGATAATTTCAAGCATTCCAAAGTGTGATGAAACACTGAGGAAATAAACTAGATAGGTGTTTTGTGTCTGGTGGCTTTATCGCCTTCCTGGAGTCAAATGATTTTAAAAAAGTTATTTCTTCTTCTCATTATTATTATTATTATTATTATTATTGTTAGTTCACCCAATATAAGGACCAAGGGCCACTCAAGGTAGAGAGTTATTGTGTAAGATTTTTCTAAGAGAGGAAGAAGGAGTAATTAAGACATTTATGTTATGAGAACATGTAGGATAGATACTGGTTGATGCTGGGCTTAAAGAGACCAAGATTGTAAGTGTCAGAGAAGCATCCATTCTGGAGTCTGTTCCATAAAATAACAGTTCTTGGTAAGAAGTGGTCTGAGTGGAAGTTGTATAAAAATTTTATTCCTATTAAATCCAAGTTCTTGTGCCAAACACAAAACTTAGTAGAAACAGCAAGACAAAAGAGATGCAACATTTTAAATCAAGACAACCACTGCATAAAATTTTAAAAGGAAAAACACACTTATTTATAGTTTACACAATTATGAAAAAATGGTACAATACAAGTTTGCACAAAAATTTCCTTCTGTGGACCTCAAAGGCAGGATAACAATTTCAAGGATTACCAAAAGTGAAAAATTACGGCAAGAGAAAAAAAAACAACAATTTTGTAAATGATAAAAAGAGAAAACAATACATGAAGGCTGTAAAAAACAAAGGTTCAACAAACTTTGAAAAAAAAAATAATAAAGACCTACTTTCACAGCAGTTATTATGAAAAAAAAAGTCCCTTTTAACTTCACACAGTTTGTGCCTGGGAAAATTTCTTCAAAATCTTTTCATTTTAGGATGTTCAACAACTTTCACTTGAAATTTTGGTCCCTCTGTGCCTGTCTGATAACTAGTGATTTCTTGGATGTTCTCTTCTTGGGGACAAATGACTCCTTTGATGTTGATGACCTGCCATGTCCCCTTGTTATCCAAAAGTCTTCTCATGTCTATTTATTTAAAAATTTTGGCTCACATCAGCCACACTATTTCATAAATTGATTAATGGAGCCTTAAAAATTTTGGTGGGTTTTAACCACTGAGCCGAAAAAAGGTACACAGTTGTAACAATTTTTACACAAACCATCTGGCCTTCATAAAAATACACTTCTCTCAAGAAAACGTGCATTAAAAAAACAACCTAGACAATTTTACATTTACATATTTTTAAAATAATGAAAATTAATTTTTTATAATTGCTCTTTGCCAAAGGAACACAAAGGGAATGGGGATGGTTTGCTACTGTGAATATTGCATGGCTGATGTTATCTGTGAAAGTCTGAGCTGATGGGACTAAGGAATGTAACTCTTCGAAACATCTGCCATAGTAATAACGACAGAATAGTGAGAGGCTAGCAATGCTTCGTTTGTAGTCCAAGGGTGGAGTGGAAATTATTAAGTCATCACACTGAAGGCCGCGTAAGCGCTTTTTAAACTATTTAAACTAACCATTACTGATACTATCATTTAAACAAAGAAAAAAAGAAAGAAAAATTTAAAACCTAACCAAAACATTTTCAATATTGTTTACCCGTTGTCATTAGCAACCTAGATACACTCCACATCAGTACTGAAACTGAAAATAAAATTTTAAAATACCTCGATTATTTTGACGTAAGCAGGATCGGGTTTCTTTCGACGTGCAAGGTAAACTCTGGCATATTCAGGGATATTTTCAGTCCAGTGTTTTTTCTTTTCTGATGTATTCCGCTTCCTAACAGTCTGCTCAGCAGCACCCAGCAGAGGTTGACTGTCATCCATGTTTACTCGTTGCCAAGTGATTCCTTCGTTTTTTTTTTACTTAATACATTAGAGTTATCTCCCCTTATACCGGAAGTTGGTTTCGTTTGATTCCGGGAACATTATTATTATATGGCGGAAGTTTGAATAGAAAAGAAGAGAATTTTTCTTACATTTTTTTTTTTTTTTTTTAAGTTTCTTCTGTTTGCGACTCTACTGCATTCTGTCAGAAAAAAGACAGCTAGCAGTTCTGCATTTGAATCCATCCATTGCGAGATTCTTTCATATGCCTGACAACAACGAAAGCTAAAAAGGGAAGTTGATTATGATGGCTGGTAGTAACCCGACAGAAGAAGAAAGCGATCCACGACGGAAGATTTTACGAATGGTGGTTTGTTCTTTGTGTTACGATGCTGGTTTTTCCACAGTGCAGAACACAGTGGTCGAAACACTGACAGAAATGTTGCAAAGCAGTAAGTCTTTACCATTTACCTATTTGCTTTCGTTTTTAAACTTCTTTCTTTCTTTACCTTTCCAACATGGTCGTATTTGTTTACCGGTTTTAAGAATGTCAGAATGAAGTTTAGCTTAGTTTGGCACAAGGTCACAAGCATGGGGCCCTCAACTGACAATCAAATACTAGTCCATTTCATCACAAATATCGACTTTTCTTTCTTACACTGCATTGTAAATTTTTTTTGAATGAGACTCGTATTATGAAACCCTTCATTGTATGTAAAAAAAAAAATCATCTTTTACTAAGTAAAAAAGATGATTTTATAATTTGCTTAAAAGTAAAATTTACTTTTTAGCAAATTATTTAATTACTTGTTCGGTTAGTGTTTGTAGGTCTCCACGAAATCGCTAAAAAAAAGAGAATAGCTTGATGAAAAAGACGCCAGCCTTGCCGAAAACAAAATTTTATCGTCTAAATACTTATGTTATTATTAAGAGGAAAGACCAAAGTTTTTTTAATTATTTGTAAAAAAATTTTCCTTTTTAGAACATTCTAAATTTTGATTAAAAAAGCCTTGTTTCTCTGTATCGCCGGAACTAGTAAAAATAACAGACAATTTTTAGCACTTTTTTTGGTATGACACATTAATTTGGAAAATCTTGCAAAAATAAAAATAATTGTCGGATGTTAATGAAACTTTCAGGAACTATTCACAGATCGAAATTATTATGTTTTTTTTTTTTATTAAAGTCATGGCAGAAATATTTTTTTATGTTTATTACCCCCCCCCAAAAAAAAACGCTAGAAATTCGATTGCATCGGGTTTAGTGATTACAATAGTTAGAAGCATAAGGCTTCCTTTGAGGAATGCAAATCATGTTTTTTTTTTTTTTTTTTTTTTTTTTAATTGGACCCCCTTACCTGAAAATCAGCTCTGAATTGTAACATACAAAAAAAACTCAATAAAACAAAGATATTATTTAATTTCAAATGCTTTTATTTGCTTTTATGAATATGGACAATATTTTCTGAAAGCAAAAATTTTTTTCAATGAAAAATGAATTTTTAATAGAAATATTTATTTCTTAATTATAATAGATTTTTACATTTAAGTTGTTAAAATATTATAAAATTAGTTAAAAGCTGCATCGGGTTTCCTAAGTCTCCTTATGAGATAGATCTTTTTTTAGCGCGTTGTAAATTGTATAATTTTGACTAATTAGAAGATCTGCAGTAATTAAGAAATGTAATTTTGTGTTTATAATCAGGCTGTAATTATAAAGTACAGAAGACCAACCAGAATACAATTAAGTTGCGTTATTTGAGTTAAGGAAGCATTGTTCTCCGCTGTTAAGGCCTTTAATTTTGTGAAACACATGCGGAGAAGTTAATTTGGTTTTTCAATTTCAGTAAAAATGTAATAAATGTACATAAAATTATAGTATTTTATGTACACTTCTGATAAAATTTCATAAGAAAGGTACCTATAAATTAATTAGATACCTTTCTTATGAAATTTAATCTCATTCTTAACAGTCTTATTTTAATTTCTTTATAATATATTTTCCATAAAGCATCGTAAACGTAAAGGTGAAAGCTAAGTAGAAAAAAAAAAATTAGAGCACTGAAAGTTTTCCTTAAAAATAACGAGGTAAATAATTTGTTCACTTAAATGTAAATTATTTCAATTTTCTCCTTCCGTAGAACAAATTATCCACATGGAATCCGTCAATATGTCATTCATCACCTGTCAAGTGACGCGAAAGTTTATGACCTGCTTTGTTTTATTTTCAAATTACATCCTTTCTGCGCAGAAACCAAGTTAAGCTTGGTTCAAAATATTTTAAATAAACATTATAATTTCTGATTTTCTTAAAATAAGTTTTGTAAAAATGATAATTGATATTTAAATGAATTTCAAAGCAAGATTTCTAGTTTTTTTTATAAAATGGAAAAAATGGTCAATTTTGCTGATTCAAAAAAAAAACACGATTTTTAATGAAAATTTCAGATGTCCTAGGAATGATTAAAAAATGTAAAAAAATACCCCAAAAATACTTTGATCTTTCCTCTTAATAATAACATAAACATTTAGACGATAAAATTTTGTTTTCGTCAAGTTTGGCGTCTTTTTCATCATGCTATGCTCTTTTTTTAGCGATCTCGTGGCAGTACCTATATGTGTAGCTATTTCAGAATTGATCGCCAGTAGGTCTAATTTTCATCTCTTTGTTGAGGAAAAGACAATTTCCTGAGGCTCCACCAAAGAACTTAGCATGGCCGAAGTTTGAAACAAAATTTAATGCTGATCTAAGAATTTCAAAAAATTGCTTATTTATTGTTTTTATTTTTCAAAATTTATTGGTTGCAAATGCTGGATTAAATTTTTTTTTTTTTTTATTTACAGAAGAAAATGCTGAAATAAATTGCCTTGGCATTTTCGAACGCATGTGTTTTTTTTTTTTTTTTTAAAGAACTCAGAATAGGAATCATATTCAATTCCAAGATAGCGTGCAAATCTAAGGAAGATAAATTAATATTATTTGTTATGTTAAAACGTTGAAATAAACTATACGCCAACACTACTTAACTCAATCGGTAAATATAGTCGTACGTGAGCACATTTAGTTCAAAAGTAATTTACCTTGAAAAATTTCCAAGTTTTCCTGAAAATAACGAGTTTTTTTCATGAAAATGTTAGTTAAAAATGCACAATTTGTTTGTCTGCTTCATATGACTTACTACTAAATTTTGGCACAAAACTGTTAGGTACCTTCAGTAATTCAATAAAAAAAGAACATACCATGATGAGAAAATGCTCCAAACTTGATTAAAAACAAAGTTTTATAATCAAAATCTTTAAGAGGAAAGAACAAAGTATTTTTTTATTAATTTTTTTTTTTTTTTTTTTTTTTTAAATCCTTTTTAGAACGTTCGAAATTTTGGTTAAAATTAAGAATCTTGTTTTTCTTGCATCAGTTAGCGGACTATAAATTAGCGATAGTAAATTTTAGCGTCTTTTTTTTTTTTTTTTTTTTTTACAGTGAAAGACACATTTATTTGGAAATTCTTGTAAAAATCAAATAATTTCGGATTTTAATAAAACTTTCAGGACTTATTCATAGATGAATGAAGTTATTTGAGATCTTTTTATGTCTCTTATACTGCTCTAATTTAATTTTATTAAATTTTGTAATGCCTAAAATGTTTTAAAAAAGAATAAAAGCGAAGTTCCTTGGAGAAATTTCATAAATTTATTTCATTTTGTAAAACAGGACCTCTAGTTACTTGAAAATCTGCTCTGAATCATAAAAAAAAAATATTATTTAATTAGAAAAGCTTTTAATTGCTTTTATGAATAAGATATATGGACACTAAAGAAAAAAAATCCATGAATAATGAATTTTTTACCAAAAATCTTTTCATTTTGTAAAAATTTTAATTAGAATAATTTATAAAGTTTAAAATCTTTTAAAATTCTGTATTAAATTGTAATTGTTAGGTGATATTGTTATTAAGTAAAAACTATATTTATTAATCCTAGATACAATACAATTCGGCATATAGGCATAGCAATGATTCAATATAATCTTTCCATTTCAAGTCAGCGGGAAACATTAACCTAAGAAGACACACACTCCTGGCAGTTAGCATCAGCGATGCTGACAGAAGGCAAAAAGGCTATTACAGACAAAAGAGAGCAGTTTCATTTTGATTGTGTTAAAATTAATAAGCCATTCCTTGCCATATTTTAACAGATTGTAGGTCTTTTTTTTTTTTTAAGCTGCCAATTTAACCTTATCAAACAGATCAGAATTACTATTAAGACAGGAGGTAATTGTTGCAACATCAGGAAGGTTATTGATGAAAATTAGGAACAACATAAGTCAAAGGATAGAGCTGTGAGGAACACCTGCATTAATGTAAAAAAAATCTACAAGAGTAACCATTTAAGAAAACTTTCATTTCATGATTTGATAAGAAAGACTGAATTAGTTCAAAAATTTGTCCAGAAATATCATAACCTTTCAACTCGTGAAGACGACGAGTATACTAAACCCTACCAAATGCCTTTGAGATGTGTCCAAAGAAACAACCTGATCTTTGCTATTCTTATCTAAATGTTGATAGACTCTTTCAGAAATAATTGTTAATATTTTAGCAGTTGACTTAGATATGTGAAAGCCATATTGCTTATCTGAAAGAAGATCCTGCAAGGTGTGATGCATAACCAATTCAGAGTTTATTAGGGCCTCAAGTACTTTGCTAAGAAGTGGTAGAAGATTAATAGGCTGATAGAAGGATCAGACATTTCACCTGTGTTCTTAAAAACTGGAACTACAGAAGAGGATTTCCAACAAGCAGGAAAGCAAGGAGTAACAAGGGACATTTTGTAGAGTTTAGAGAGAAAAGCAGCCAGTTAAGGAGCACATTTCTTAAGGACTATTGCAGGGATACTATAAAGTTCACATGCTTTATAAGGATCCAGTTTAGAGAAGATAGTTGAAACCCTGGCCTGAGTTATATGCCATATCACTCAATAGAGACTCAGTGGAAAGTCAAACAAAGATACTCCAGATAAGTCAGGAGTAGAATTTGATGACAACACCTCAGATTGAGTAAAGAGAGGAGGGATAGGAGATTTACTCTTATTTATCAAACTATTACAATGCTGCCAGTAGTCATGAAAAGCAAAGTTGCTAGAGGCTATTTTGTCAGCAAACAAAGACTTAGCCTGTTATTGCAAGCAGACACAAATAGACATATATTGTGATCAGAACTATCATGCTGGTACACCCAGAAAAAGGGATTCCTGTGGGCTATAGTGGCTGAATAGACAGGTGTGAACCAAGGAGAAGATTGTGCTTTCACCTGGTATTTACAAGAAGGTACAAAAGCATCAGTCCTGTTTTTAACCCAACAAGAAACCTCTGTTCCTCAATAGGAAGGTTAAGAATATCAATCCAAGGTGTGTTGTGAAATGAATCCCAATCAGTATGCTTGTAACAAAAAGAAGTCTTGGGATTAAGTCTAATAGGTGACTCAAAAAAAAATATTAATAGATACTACAGAGTTCTCTGAATTGTCATGCGGACACAGTTGTGATGTTCAATAAGAACCTGGAGAAGAGGTAAGGAACAAATCAAGTAAAGGAGAATGTTAATCAGTTTTATTAGGGAAACTAGTCAGGAAAACCACTATTTGACTGAGAGACTGAATAAAGAACAATTGAAAGTTTTAATACCAACATCATCGGTAACATTAGAATGTTTAAGTTATTTGATATGATGTTGAGAAAGAGAGCCATTTCTATATTATCAGAAATTTTGTTTAATATATTACAGTCCTAAGAAGGAGGAGGGCAATAAAGGAAATTTTGTGATAGCCAAGAAAATGCAATATCAAATGTTGAAAGCACATGAAAAAAATCATCTGAAGACTCAAGAGGTACTTCCCTTGCAATTGGGAGATTTTCCCGATTATAAACACCAAGGCCGTGCATATATATCCTTGAATCTTTTCCATAAAGAGGAAGAAACCTTGAACAGAGAATTCGTTAGTAGCGATAGAAGAATTTAAATTAGTTTTGCAAAGTGCAAGGATAATATTGGAGAAAGGTTGAGAGGGGTAGGTGATTTTTTTTTTTTTTTTTTTTTTTGTTTATTAGTTTGCATGTATTTCTTTTCATTGTGTTTATCATCTTCCATTTCATCTATATATTGTTTAATTCTTATTTTTAGTGCTGCTGCTTAGTTATTGCTCACCCATTTCCACTTAGTCCGATAGCCTAGTGGATTAAATTGTTATTTTGATGACATATGAATTGTGAGTTCAATCTATGGATTGAGCAATATGTATGTGTACTCAGTGGAAACAGGACAAGCAATAAGTGAGCAGTACTAAAAATAAGAACTAGACAAGATATCCCTAGACATGGACTGTAGAATGAGAACAACCCCATAGATTAACCTTTAGCACTTTGTATATATTTGCCAAGCAAAATGCAAGTCATGCAAATGGAAGTTGAATCTAAATTTCTTAGTTGTGTAGTCATCATTTTCTTCTATGGCAACATATAAAAGAATCCTGTCTGAAATTGAGAGCCAGGCTATTGCAATTTCAAATATATAGAACATTATATTTTGAGGGTCATTCTATATACAGTAAACGGAGAAGTAATATTTATAAATGAAGCAGAGTGCTAAATGTTAAATAAAGGTTTCAGTTCAAAATTCCCTGTAGTTTACCCAGATCAATATATACCTGATGAAGGCCGGAGGGCACAGTGGCAGAAATGTTGTGATAACAACAACATAGGAGGACAATAGTTCAAATATAAATAATGTAAATAATATCTCCTTATCCCAGAAATTCAGACAGAAACAAAAAGATAGTAATAAATAAAAAATTTGAAGGGTTGGGGAAATCTAAACTTATATAAAAGTTAATCTCTTGGACATTGAGAAAAAAAAAAGACATACAAAGTCATTCAGGCTTTGAAAACAACTCTCGGAACCATAACTAGGGAAAATATCAGAGACTGAGTGCTATAGGGTGAAAGCTTAATAGGTAGAAATGGCAAAGTTGTATGGACAGATATATTAAAAGTTTTAACCTGTAGACCAAAAATAATTGCTAATCTTTGCGTTTATAGTAAGTGAAAAATTGAAAAACATAAAATATAAAAATTGTTTACAATGCAGATATGTTAATCTTTATCACTCTATATGTGACTTCATTTGCTGTCCTAAAAGTTTATCCTACCACTGAAGGTGACTCTGATCCCTGAATTTCATAGTTGTGTTGTCATATCTTGCTATGGTAATATAAAACAACTTTGAGTGAAATTAACAATAAGGATATTGCAATAGAGAGACATTGAAAAAGAATGCAGTGGAAAGAGAAATAATAATAATGCAGAGTTGCTAAAAGTTAAAAGCAATAGTGTCAAGTGTTGTTTTAAGCTGTAATAATATGCAACATAAACTTTTTAATTTAAAAAAAAAAAGATCTGATCGACAAATACCTGCGATAATGACAATAAAGATGAGGACATTAGTCTGAATATAAATAATATAAAAAAAAAAAGAAAAATAACTATTTCAGTATTTTGGAAATAATAAACTTCCTATTCTTAAGAAAACTTCATTTTTTTATATGATTACATCACCAACTTCATTTATTTAACTTGCACAATTATCCCTCCATTGATAATTTCTTGGAGAGATAAATTCTATATAAGATACCTGGTTGTTCATAGAAATAAGTATTGTCTGTATATGTTTGCGTTGTTGTTGTTTTTTTTTTTGTTTTTTTTACCAATTCACCCGAAGTAAGGCAATAATGCCACTAAGATACTAAAGGAGACTAGGAGTGCAATAAAATGAGAAAACTTAAAAGGGATGGGAAACCCAATCTTAAGCAGCAAACAAGGGATAAACCTCTACTCCTGATCAAAAGACTAAGGAGGAGTGTGAACATGTCTACTTCTCTTGAGAATAAAAAATAAAAAATAAAAAAATAATTAGTAAATAAAATTTCAGAGGTTAGGCAGAGACATTAGACATCTACAGTTGAAGTAGACTCTAAAAGGAACTAGAAACCCAATCCTAAACAGGAAAGGGATAAACCTTTGCTCCTGTTTAAAGGACCAGGGAGGAGTGTTAATCAGGCAATAGGCAAATCTTTCTCCAAGCAAATGAGTGAAGTAAAGTTGGTAAATAGGATTATTAATGTCTTTCTTAATTTCTTTTCAGCCTTAGGGGAGATTGGACGGAGTGCACAGGCGTATTGTGAGCTGGCAGGCCGGACAACACCAATGCTCAGTGATATTGCTGTAGCATTAATTGAAATGGGTGAGTAATGATGTTTCCCAAACTCAAACTTTGTTTGAATCTCTCTTTAGTATATTTTTCACAGTTGCCATCTTGTTTCTTCAAAATTCTGAAGACACAGTCTCTTGTTTGATCACTGAGGTTAAGCAGTGTCAAGTCTGGTCAATATTTAGATATGGTACTAAGCCATTAACAAAAACAAAAAAAACAGCAAACTAATCAATCTTCCAAATTCTCATGGATATAAAACAAACTTGGTTTAAATAATAAAGATGGTTATTCAGATGAGTCCAAAGATCTTGTTTCCATGAATATAAAATGTCAAAATTCTTAACTTCTGATATTTTCTTGTTTTTCTGTCTTTAAACACATTTGAATTCGGATTTGTCAAAAAGTTTTCAGAGTTTCCAAAAATTGTGTGTCTTTTTCTTTAGCACCCCACCTGCCAAAAATGTCTTTAGCCCCCACATTCCAAAGTGTAGCTTTTTCTTTAGTTCCCCCTCCAAAATTGTCTTTTTCTTGCCCTCCACCTTCTTCTGCCTTTTTCTTTTGGCCCTCCAAAAATCTAACAGCCGTAATAGTGAAAAAATAAGAGGACTGTTGGTTTTTTTTTTTTTTTTTGTTTTTTTTTAAGCATTACGCCCCAAGCAAGGCGTGAAGCCACTAGGATGCAGGGGGTTGCGGAAGATTTGGAGCGAGAGCAGATAGGAATGATAGAAGAAAGGACGAGGAGAGGGATAGTGGGTAGATCAAGGTAACTGGAGATGTCAGTTGACATTACATTTGAATAGTTGGAGATTATAGCTCTCAGGGAAACAGTAATTGGGGAGGGTGTTCCACTGGCAAGAGGTGCGAGGTATGAAGCTATTGGAGTAGAAGAGACGGCTACATTTAAAAGTTTCTACAGTGTAAGGGTGGGAGCGGGATGCCAGCCTCGTAGGGCGCTTGAATTCATGGAGCCTGAGGAACCAGTGAAAGCAGCTCATCAGAGCAATTGCCATGAATGTATTTGTAGAAAAGACAGAGAGAGGCGACGGCGCGTCTGTGAGAGAGTGACTGCAGACGAGACGCCAGATCAGGGCCAATTAGATTACATATCCGTCTCTGGATCTTGTCAAGAACTCCGAGGTAAGCAGAAGGTGCTCCAGCCCATATATGGCAGCAATACTCCATGCAAGGGCGAATGGTTGTTTTGTATATTTGAATTATCGATTCAGGGGAGAAAAATTTCCTGGCGCGGCACAGAGAGCCAACTTTCCTCGCAGTGGAAGAAGCAATTGACTCGATGTATTTGTTCTATCTTGGGTCAGCAGTCAGCGTGAGACCGAGCAGACACAGGGAGTTGCTCTCAGGAAGTTGCATTTTCTTTATTGTCAAGTTTTTAAAGGTGAAATGAATCCAATTCATTTTATATTTACGGTTCTGCTGAAGATTTGTTAATGAAAAATCTATTGTAAAACCACAATGCCATTTTAATGATGAAAAAAACCTTCTCTACTATATATTAAAAGACAACCCTGAAAAGAAATTAACAACAATTAACAAACCCCTTGGAAATTTCTGAAGAAGTGGTCAAAAGCTTTTGGTAAAATAGACACTACAGATAAATTTTCCACTCCCTTACTCCTATCAAATGGAAACATTTAAGAATGCTACAAAAACTCAAAAAAAATAATCAAAATTTCTTTGTCTATCATATTCAATGAAACATGTATGAAAGAAAGGTTGCTGCCCAAATATACATTATTTATTTACACACACACAGGTTGTGATGGATAAATTGTCATTTAAATTATGCGAAAGTGAAAATAATACTGATGTTTCATTTTAACAGATATATTTACCAAACTTACACAAAAATATGTTGAAATACTAAAGAGTAAATCTATCTAATACTAAAAGTATGATTGCGTGCATGCTTTTGTGGTGTGTCCATCCAGTGCATAATGATTTATGAATTGTTTATACGGGAAGTATTTTTATTTTAAGTTTCTTCAAACAGACAATTAAAATACTTTTAAGTTAAAGACAGACACAAAGAGATCTTGCTTTGCTGTTTTGTCCAGAGTAACTATTTGTTTATATTTCAGCTTTCTTTAAATGAACAATAAAAAATATCTTTTGACATTGAAAAATATTTTCAAGTGAATATGATTTAAAAATATCTTTTGGCATATTAATAAAATATTTTTAAGTTAATCTAAACCATTTAGCATATTTCAAATTTTAATAAGGAAAAATTAGTGATGAAATTTGAAGTTAGGAAAATAATAAAGAAGTCTCCTGAAATATTTATTTTTAAGACATTACATTAAAGTGTGCTTGGCATGCTTTTTAATAGTTGTCACTTTTGGTTTAGCATTCCCAAAGAAGATTAATGGTACAGTTTTCATTTAAAGAATCTGCTTGCTTTTTTTTTTTTTTGTTATATAGAGAGGCTGATAATGACTGATTTAAACCCTTTGAGCAAAACGAAAAGGATTATCCACTCCTTAATTTTCCTTAATCTTAACCATTGACAAACAATTTTGTCTATGCAGTTCCACTCACAAAGCTTGAGTCAATCCAGGCACTTAGCCAACAGTGTCACATACAGCAATCACCACCCCAGGCCTATAACATCATCAGCATGGATAATCAAAAGAGGAGACTGAAACTTTGTGTTTAGATCCTACAACATATCTGGTGATAGATCATCTAGTAGACTGCCTAAGAGAAAGGAAAACTAAATTAAAGAGGACACTGAAATACCACCTTTGACACTTGAAAAGATTGCCCTGAATGAGGAGAAATGGACAAGAAGTTTACAAGGATCTTTTGGGGATTATGCAACTAAACTATTAACTTTTGTGCTTCTAGTAAACAAAAAGATTAGTCCAAATATAAATGTAGTCAATTTCTTCTGGCTTGTAATAAAGTTCCCTAATCTATTTCTTTCTGCCAACAAAGTAGTGTAAGTCAAACAGTCCCTACAATACATGTCTCCTGTTTGCTACAGCAGTTGCACTTTTTTCTGTTGCCTCTTTAAGCTCTTTTTATAGATTGATTGACAAAATTTGTATAAGAGATTCTCACGAAAATCTATCTGACTTTGAGATCTATTTTACATGTATGACTCATGAAGCCCATGTTTTTCTTTTTGGGAATTTTTTTACATGTGAGACCGGTCTAAATCTGTTTTCATTCTGGTGGTAAGCCATTTTCTTTATTATTTCTGACAAATTGACCATGGTGAGATTTGAACCCAGGTCCCATGGTTGGAAAGCAAACGTTCTAACCACTTGCTATGCAGGTACACAAAGGACTTTGACTGTAAATAACGTAAACTGAAATGAAGTTAACTCATCCAAGATGTGTCTGGCTAATGTTTAGCTTGCAAAGAAGAACGGCCAATGCTGACTATGTGAGAAAACATTGCTGCAACAATTTGGCTTTTTTCTTGTTTTCTTCATTTATTGTTTCTCTTATTCACTTCCTCTCTTCACAGGAGTCAACATTGAACAAATTCCTGTCTATGCCAAGAAACCAAACAAAAACGTCTTCATACCGCGTAAGTTTTTTTATAGTAAAAATACCTTTTTTTTTTCTTTTTTTTTTTTTTTTTAAATTACCAACAATATATCTAAAAAACATACATTTAAGTAAAAAATGATGTACAAAATAGATGTATGTTTGGCTTATGTGGGACTGAAGTCAGATGTGAAGATGCAGTTATAAGTGGGGCGTGGATTATCACTTGGTCTGGTAGGTACAGGCATGTTCTCGTGTTTTTTTAATTTACCTTGCAACATTATTAGTCAGTTTGAAATTTGGTTACTTTCAGTAACACACCATTTAGACTGGTCAGTAGCAGCAGGTTAGAGTCTGCTGCAGTATCCTGGACTCTTCCCTCACAATCATGTGTCCTGTCAATTTGAAGTGAGCCTTTAGGATCTTGTCCTCAGTGCACATGGAATTGACTCTGTCCAGAACTTTTCCATTAGTAGATTTGCATGATATATATATATATATATATATATATATATATATATATATATATATAAAAAAAAAAGAAGGAATATTGTGGAAATTGTATTGAAAGTGTAAAAATTTTGTTTATGGCATGTTTTGTCCTTTTGACTAAATTTGTTATGTTGGTAGGGCTACACATGTGCACAACAGAGGGGTGCTTAGAATTTTAGAATTTTTATTTAGCCTAATTTATTTCCATTTTGCCACACAATTTCCTTAATACACACACACACACAAATGATGCAAAGAGGATTTATTTTACACAAAGAAATATTGTCTATGCATTTAACCCAATGTTTCTCCATTAATCACATACTATATTATAAACTGAAAATTTAAATACTATAAATAATATGCATGCTCTGGCAGGATTCAAATCTGTGTCTCCTAGGGAAACTGTCATTAGATCTGATGTGCCTTAGACCACTCAGCCACGCAGGACCTCCTGATCAAACAAAGTCCAAAGAGTGCTTTGGAACACACATCTTCCCAATTCTTGACATATAAGTATCTGCTCCATTTCAAATCCTGCCAGAAGATGTATGTATTTCTAACAAGATTTCTCGAATATTCAGGCTGGTAGATGTAAATAGATAAATATACTGTTTAATAAATAAATAAAAACAGAGCATCTACTCAAATATGAGTATCAAAAACAATATTCAAACAAATAAATTGTATATATATATATATATATATATATATAAAAGATGTACCACAATGTTCTAAGCACTATATCAGTTTCAATTGTAGCATTTGTGAGTATTGCCAATTGAAATGGTGCTTGGCTTGGTATTACTTGACCCATATAGATGTTTATGTACCAAAATATATTCATGAATAGATACCACATTTTCCTTGCAGCCACTCATAAACATGTTCCCCCTGTACCTGGAATATTAGAAACTGGAGAAAGAAAACAGCATCCATCTTATATCCCAGATCATTACCCGCCTTTCCCTGGACCCCACAGTTACATCAGAACGCCTGTAAGTATCACCCATTGCCTGTCTTCATTTGAATCTTTGCAAGATTGAAGCAAAAAGACAATTTTCCTTAACAAATTTAAAGTAACAATTAGATTTACATTGAATATACCGTAATTTCTGCTGAAATTTACTCTTCTCTACATTATTTACTTGTCCTCATTATGACGATAAACTACATTAGACAGCAAGGCCTCTGATCAGGTTTTGAGGAGCGTGGAACCACCTCTTAATTGCTGTTGTTGCCAGGTCCACCCTGACTCGGGGTAATAGCAACTATTAGGATCCTAGTTACTGGCAAACAGTTAACCCACAAACTGAGGGTTAAAATACTATGAAAGTATAAAAATACCAGAAATAAATTTTCTATAGTAAAAAAAAACCCAAAAAACACAACAATACAAAAGAAAGTACTAATGTTCCCAAGAAAATTCAATTTTGGCATTAAATGACCCATAAGGAGTTGATATGCCACTAAACAAATATTATTTACTGTTGGACTAATGTCTTCATCATCAATTGTTTGATCTTAGGCCTTTTTCACATGTTTATCGATTCAAATGACATTCACAGACATTTGAAATGAACCCTTCATTTAATCTAGTGGTTTTTAACTAGATGGACCATTGCTTTTTCACACACACAAAAAAAATAGCAAATTGGGTGTCTGGAATGTAATTTCTTCTGGCTTCTTTGGGAGGATTAAATTTGCATTTTTTGTATTTTCTTCTGTTCCCAACTTCTGCAACAACAGAGTGATTTTTTTTTTTTTTTTTTTTTTTTTTCGGACCATTGTTCGCATCTTTTCATAAATATTGTTTCAAACCTACAAAAATAAGTTGGAAACGTTGAACCACTCTCAGGATCATATTTAAATTCAACAAGTGAATTTGAAATTCCTTCAACAGAAAAAAATCTAGAACCCGTTTCTTTTGTTGTCCTAGATAATACATCTTCCCAAAGTGCTTTATTGTCTTTTGCCTGTTGTTTGAATAACTTTTCAAACCTTTCTTGTTGCTGAATAAATTGTTGTTGTCGTTGGAATTGTTGCTGTAAAGTGACTTGTAGCACCTTAGTTAATTCCACAATTTGTTCCATTCTGCCAACGTATCCACAAGAAAAAATTTTGCTCCAATTTATGTAGACAATAAAATTTTCTATGTCCAAACATGAGGTGGGGTGGCAATTTCTTACTTTCTGTAAGCGTTGAACAAGTTTTTTCCTTTTCTGACGTTCCTCTTAATAAGCGTTAAAACAAAAATGAGGGAAAAATTACTTATTTTCTGTAAGTGTTGAACAAGTTTTTTCCTTTTCTGACGTTCCTCTTAATAAGCGTTAAAACAAAAATGAGGGAAAAATTACTTATTTTCTGTAAGCGTTGAACAAGTCTTTCTAACGTTCTTCATTAGTGTTGTCAACTGTATTCTTTTTTTCTTTTGTTTTAACTTGTGAGGGCGTTTCGAATCTCGTCGCCAACTGATATGTCCCAGAAAGGGATATATTTGTTCAAAGTAGCAAAGTGGTTTTGGACTACTGTAACTGGGTAGGACAATCTAGCAGGTAACCTGGATGGACTGGTCCTCGTCATAGTGGTAGGCAATAGGCGAAGACAATAAGCATCATCCTGTACCTCCACATCAGTCTGTATTTTTTTTTTCCAGACTCATCGAGATCCCATTAATGACTATCAACTTGTACGAGAGAAAGCAGCTACCCAAAAGCGTGACATTGAACGGGCTCTTACTCGCTTTATAGCAAAAACTGGCAAAACACAAAAACTCTTTAATGATGACAGTGGTGCTTTTCCTTGTGAGTAAAATGATTCCTTTTGCTAATTTCAAAGTTTATCGAAAGATTGTTGATTGTTTTTAATTTTATTTTTCCAATGTATGGCTTTTTACTTTATGATAAACTTAGATTACTGGCATTAAAATATTCTTCTCTTTTTGCCAGCACATGACTCCAAAAATATACTTTCTTTTTTATTCAACAATATGTGTTGTAGAAGAGACTTGAAGAAACAAATGTGATTCTACAGAAGGATGCTGAGAATACCATGGACTGAACATGTGAGCAAGGATGAAGTTTTGGAGAAAATGGAAACAAAAAGGACACTTATAATTAACATTATAAAGAGAGAGTTGACATTTGTAGATCACCTAATGAGGAAAAGGAGCTTGGAAAATTTGACACTGACAGGTCCTATTATTGGTGAGAGAGACAGAGGAAAGAAGCACATAACCTATCTAACAAGCTTTTGTAAATAGTTGGCAGAACAGATTAGGAGAGATATGACAAAAAGACCAACTATACTGAGAGCTACAAAGCACAGGAGATTGTGGAGAGCCATGACCATCCACATCCTAAAGTATAGGTATCTTTTTTGTTTCCATTTTCTCCAAAACTTCATCCTTGCTCACATGTTCAGTCCATGGTATTCTCAGCATCCTTCTTTAGAGTCACATTGATATTGCCTCCAGTTTCTTCTCCTTCTCCTGTGATGAGATGGTCCAAAATTCACTACCATATAAGAGTACCAATATTACTAAAAAATAAATTTATTCATTTTGGAGCAGGAATTACAGTGTGATTTGTTGCTATGATAAGCATTTTGAGTGGTAAAATAAGAAGCAGATGATATGTAAAAAAAAAAAATTTTAAAAACCCACAGGTATTTGGGGATTTTGTCAAGTATATGTTTTATTAAGACACTATTTTCTTTGCATTTTCACCTGGAAAACTTTTAGAAAAAAAAAAAAAAAATAAAAATAAAAAATTATATTTTGTTGCATAAGAGGAGAAACAAAATAAAATGCATAGGAACTTCTTGAAATTGAACAGTCTCTTGGTTTATTTGAGTTTAAAAAAAAAAAAATTTGAAAGAGAAAAGAACTTTAGGCAAATGTTAAATTTTGTGCCTACTATAAAACAGTGTGTCAAAAAGATGGTTCTATCCTTGACACCGTTATTATTTTAACCACCTTCACTCCTTTGGCAATGTTTGTTGTTTTAAAAAGCAATGATTAGAATTTTAATAAAACCCGTACTTAGGAAAGTGAATTTATACATTTTCTTTGTTTTATAACAAAAATAACACTATTTATTACATTGTTTATTGACAAGAATAATTTTATATACAACATTCTAAAAATGTGAACCAACTAATACAATGTAATATTTATCATTTTTCAATTTATAAAGAAATAGATATGAAAATAAAATTTTTTATTCATAAATTTCTAAAAAAAAATAATGTCTGAACAAGAAATTTTAAATAAACAGATAACTACGTGTGACTGTAATTATACATTTTGAAAAAATGCATTTTCCAGGCAGCAGTTCATTGATATTTTTATAAAAATTAAGAATAAAAACTTTGTTTTCACAGTTATTTATAAATTGATAAATAATATTTCATTGTAGATGATTTACATATTTTGATAATTTTACTTTTTTTTTTTTTTTTTTTTTAAATTTTGGAATCAAAATTTTGTGTTCAGATTTATTTCTTTATAAAATGGTGAATAATAAATATTATATTGTACTTGGTTCACACATTTTTATAATCATGTAAATAAACATTACCAAGGGAGTGATAAAATAATAAGAGTATTCAGGGAAAAGCTGTATTTTTGATACACTTTTTTTTTTCTTGTGGGCACAAAAGTTAAAGTTTGCCAAACTTTGTTTTTTGTCAAATTATTTTGTTTTATACTATTTCTGGAAGACTAATTAAAATCAAATAGATATATTTCTCTTAAATAAATTTTTGAAAAATACTGATAGGAATGAAGTGGCCCATATTTATTTTTTGTTTTTTTTGTCTTATTTTTTTTTGTCTTATTTTTTTTTTGTCTTATTTTTTTTTTGTCTCATTTTTTTTTTGTCTTATTTTTTTTTTTGTCTTATTTTTTTTTGTCTTATTTTTTTTTTGTCTTATTTTTCCTAATTGAATTACTTTTTTTTTCTTTTAGTGATTGCTGTCAAGCCAATAACAATGGCCTATCTAAACGCTTTGCTGCCAAAAGACCAAGATCTGGATGCTCAGCTGCCTGTTGAGAACCATTGGGCCAGTATTATGCAAAAGTACAACAAGGAACACGTTCCCCCTGAAGGTGCATCAGCAGTATCTGGAAACAGCAACAACACAACTGCAACAACAGCAACCACCACCACCACCACTACCACTTCTGATGGTACTACTACTTCCACTATCACCACAACTGCCACCACCACTACAACCTCTGTCACAACATCAGCCACAAATGTGACGGCTATGACGTCAACACCACCAACTGGCGATTCTGTCAGTTTTATGGATAAATACGACTTTTATCAAATGTTTGTGGATTCAAGTGGAGATTCTGAAGCTATTGATAACCCTTATTTGCGGGCAGTGAAACCGCCACGTAAGAAAAAAAGGTGACTCTGCCGATTCTTTATGCCTTCTATGGGATATGATTGATGTGCGGATAGAATGCTTGCAAATAAATAAAGATATTCTTAGACAGTCTGATGAGAGAAATTAATTCTTTCAGTGTCAGCACCTCTAATAAAATAGCACACCCTTAATAAAACAAAGGGTTCGAGGTGTTTCTTTGTTTCTTTCTTTTTTTTTTTACTTTTAATTGATTTTTTTTTTATCTTTTTTTATATAAATATTTCTAAGAATTATTTTAAATATTTGGTTTTTCTCATTTACAAATGAGAAAATCTGATGATAAAATAAATTCTTTCATTGTGTCTTAATTAATATCAGACTGTTCATATCTATCTATCTATCTATCTCAATTGTTAAATCCCTGAAGTCCTGACTGAATTGTTGAAAAATCTGAATATATGATGTTAGTGCCATTAAGCTGACACATCTCAAAATCCATTGACAACCAAGTATTCCAAGTTGATTTTATATAGGGACCGAAATCCACAAAAATGCAATACCTAAGGTTTAAAATGAATTTTTAAAAATGAAAAATCTTTCTGGAAACTTTTATTTTAGTTTTAATTTTAAGCTAATAGATTAAATTTAATATTTCCAATAAGCAAAATACTTCGCTGTATTTCAAAAATTAATTTAAATTTACTTTTTCTTTTTTTTTTTCTTTTTTTTTTTTCTGAAATAGCTGGTTAACACTCTTTTTAGTTGTCTTTTAACACAGTGTAATTCTCTTCATTAAAAAATGATCCAAAAATAAATTATTTGAGGAATATTAGCTGATTTAAATTGAAGTATAATTAATTTGAAACAAATATTATTTACTTTAAAATATCACAGATTTTTAATGCATACAAAAAAATTCAGAATTCTTTTAAAAATATTGGTGTTTGATGCTTTCTATTAAGTTTTTCCATTTATGCTTAGTAAATATAGTTTTCACTTAATAATATAATCTAAAGGGCTGAAATATTCATACAGAATTTTAAAAGATCAAAAACAATAAATTTTTCTAATTAAAATTTTAAAAATGAAAACAGTTCTTCTAAAAATTCATTATTCATCAAAGAAAATTTTAAGACAATATTGTCCTTAATATATCTTATTTACAAAACCAATTAAAAGCTTTTCTCGTTAAATAATGTCAGTTTTATTGCATTTCTTATTTTAGGATTCAGAGAAGATTTTTGGTAAATTGTTTCTTTTTATATTTTCTAATAAATGTAGTATTTTAAATGAACAAATAATATAGATTTGAAAATTGGTCATTTTGTTGTCAGTGTAGACCCCCCCACACACACACACTATCATTATGAATTTGCAAATTAGGCTAAAAATTGTTTTATACTTTAAGTTGGAGAAGTTTAACAGTATTCTCCTAAGAAAAATCTAACTATGAACAGCCTTTTTGAATCTGTTATGGTGTGCGAGTACCCCACTTGTCTACCAATTAACTTCTGCTAACAGCCAAAGCACTATATGAAAAAGATGCACTTTCTATTTCACTTTTTTCTTTTTTAGCCACAGGATGCTGTAGAGATAGGACATGCTAATCTAATACCACATTAAATGTGACACAATGTATACAGTGTACAAATGCCTCCAGTTTATTCTGCTACACACACACATACATATCTCATGAGTCTGTTACATGACACCTGTATTTAAACCGAGTATATTTTCTAATAAGTGTGATATCTTAAATTGATAAAAAATTTAGGTGTGAAATTTGATCATCTTGCAATCAGTAAAGAGACAAGCCAGGTACCAAACAAGTCTGAATAAAATACATTGGGTAAATTAATTTTAACTTTCTGTGCATTGTCTGCTAACCAGTGGGACGAAAAGCATTGTCCAATTGTTAACAGAAGTATTTTCTGCTGAAGTTCTGGGATAAGGAGTTTTGTTACTTACATTATTGGTTCATGAATTTGGTGGCATCATAAGTGTGAGTTCAATCCCTGATAGTATAGACTCAGACTCCACAGAGTTAGCAATAACTGAGCAGTACTAAAAAGAACAAGATGAGATATCCCTAGACAGACCCTACGGTGTGATGTTGAAAATTCCCTGAAGGTTACCTGGATTAAAAGAGATCTGAAAAAGGCTGGAAGGCACAACTACCAAAATGTGGAAATATTAGACTGTTTGGAAAATAATGCCCAATTTTACAATGAACTTTTATTCTTGAATTAAACTGTTTAAATCAGTCAAAAACAAAGGAACACCAAACATTTGTACATTTCTGTCATTGAGTTACAAAGCTATTTATGGCTATATGATAAAATGATAAAGGTTGGGATGTTGTCTTTAGAATATAAAAGAAATGAATTTTTTAAGTTTTTCTAGAAATTCAAGTATAAGTTTCATATTATTTTCAGTAAATAAAACTGCTTGTAATTCACTAAAATATCAAGACTAAAAGCAGGAACTCTTTCTATTTACTTCAGAGATGTATTCAAAAAAAGTTATAAAACAAATCCTCCTGCTTTTGTATTGTTCTCTCTGATAAAATTCTTATACCTTGAAGATTAATCATTGAAAATATTTTGTATGATGCAATGGTTGTGCAAATTTAAAACAAAATATAAAGGCATTAATTACTAGGATTTTTTTTTCTTTTTTTTTCTTTTTTTTTTGCAACATGCTGATGTGTGTTGAAATTCTCACAGTATTTAGTATTGTTGAAGTTATCGCTAACATTTTTTTAGATTTACAAATTCTGTTTCATTCAATTACGAAAACCAATCAAAATTTGAATAAGCTGGTTTGTTTGGAGAAATACTTTGACAAAAACCTTTCTTTGCAGTTTAATAATTTAATTTATTGGTAAACAAGATAATTTTTCTTTCCTTTTTAACTGAAAAATAAATTCTTAAGATTTCTTACTCTTGTTGAGCATACAACATACAACTGGTCATCTGTAAATATTTCTTTCTGGAGCCAACTTTCAACTTTTTGAAGCATTTGACTTTGTGATTTGTTTATTGTTTTTGCAAACACAGGGCAAACTGGATTCTTGTATATATAAAACTTAAAAATATGCAAAAAACAATATTGCATTTTAATTTATTATTTTAATCATTAAATTGTTTTTGAAATTGTGGGAGTATTTTATGTTAAATAATAAAACTTAATTTTTCCCCAAAAAATTAATAAAAATTTATTGTACTAAGCTACACACCCTAGTAAAATCAATTGTACTTTCTACCCACCTTACCTTGTGTTTGTCTTGTCTGGTTTTCCGCATATCAAGAGCACTCTCCAACAACTAACAAAAAGCTGGTGTTATATTGCTCTCTCAGTCTCAAACCTATGCTGACTATTGACTAATACCTGCCCAGTATTGTTCATATGCAAATTTTGTCAGCACTCAACTATAAGTAGAATGTCCACTCACAACATCCAATTGTGGAAGGGGATGTAACTCCTGGTGCTTACTGCCTTGAAACCAACTCTGGGTCTCTCGTCAGGTTGACCTGATTTGTTTGCACTTAGCCCCAAAATTTGGTTTTGATCATTCAATGTATGGCTATTTTAGAGGGTGTGGCAGACAGATGGTCTAACGGGAGTCACAGATATATATATATATATATATATATATAAAAGTGTATTGAGGCAGCAGATCATTATTTAAATATTGTTAAATATAAAAGACAATGAATGTCTATTAAATTAAATTTTAAATTAAAAGGGAAATTAAAGCAACTATACAAAGTTTAGAATGTCTCATGATCAAACATAAGACATTCATTGTCTGTTATATTTAACAATATATGTTTAAAGAGAGAGATAGAAACCATTTTCTGGCTCCAACTCGTATTAAGTCTCCTAAATGAACACCACCTAAATAGAAGGCCTGTTTGATGGGTGGGGCTTATATGCTGATGTCACTATCTGTAGTATAAACTCTGAGAAATACTTTCATTTGTTTTTACTGTTTGGGTTTTCTTGCCTCAACTTGACTTTTTATTTGTTTTGTAAATATTTTCACTGAAATAATTTACAAAAAAAATGCTGTATTGTTGCGCTGTCACAAAATACAAAGGAAATTATCAAAATGGACCAAAAGTGAATGTATTTTTATTTTCAAAAGATAAGGATTTATGCATGGATACGCACTATCAAAAGGGAAAATTTTGTACCAAACAAAAGTAGTAAAGTGAGTAATTTGTTTTATATTATTTTCTTTTATATTATTTGTAAAGAGCATTAAAACTTAATGATTAAATTCAATTTTATGACTTTATAATTCATGATGCATTAAAACAGTAATAAGGCAGCCTCCATCATTAAAATTAAAAGTTTTATTCAATTCTGTGAATGAAATTATTAATTAAACTCATCATTTTTCAATAAAATTTTTGATACAAATATTTAAGGGCATTTTTTTAATAATTTCTAATAAACATTAAAAAACAAACGTTCAAATTTTTTTTATTTGTAAAAAATATTTCCATAAATACGTCCACAAATATGCATGTGTAAACTTAAAATTTGCTTAAGTTTTCATATAATTTTGTCTCTCTAAAATTTAGTAACAATATACATATTGTTAATGAATTTTAGAACACCTACAAAACTCATTATTTTATCAATTTAATGAAATTTTCGGTAAAAATATGAACATTTTTTAAATTTAATTTTCCCCCTGGAATACTTATATATAGTTTCTTTTTTAATAGCTTAGATTTTGACAAGTATTTTAAATAGGATGTAATTACCCTTTTAATTCATTTTTTTTTTTTTTTTTTTTAGATATATGAACTGTATTTTTGAGATGACATAAGGTGAGAAACATCAGCATTTGATAAGAAAACTGGTACCATAATTAGTGTTAGCCTTAAGAAAGCAATTCTTCATGTAGATGCAAATCCTTAGAATTTTACCAAACTGTCCCTTATATTTATCCACACTCACCCTTTCTATAGAGTCACCAGAATCTAGAAAAATTCTTCTGGGGAATTCTGCCCTTAGAGGAGCTTCATATCAAAGTATTACTGATAACTTGGAATATAAACAACAGAGGAGATTCCACAGCATTAATGGAGGGAAAATAAAATTTTCTTGATAGAAATTACTAGAGTATATAGTGAAGCAGCAAGGGACTCTTATATGTTGCATCATCAAGTCAATCTGTTATAATTGAACCTGATTTTGCAGTGTATGTGTTTTGTGATGATGTAGAAATTAATACTATCAGGGAGTATGAGATTCCTTATCATGTAAGTAATACAAATACTTTGGAAATTATTATTGAAAATGCAAAAAAAATGGATATAGAAGTATGTCAAAACAAACCTCAAGGTGTAATTGTTGTATTACATTTGCTAATGTCCTTCCTGTTATTAGTGCAAGATGAGTCATTTAG